TGTCCAGCAGTCCCTTACTTCCCGGTCTCTACAATAATGTACTACTTATTACAATACTGTCTCGGGTCTGGGTGCTTGTCGTTATTTCCGATTTCCATAACACAAGTGCTTTACTTACTTACTTTGTGATCGGAGCAACGTATTTGATGTTGTCTAACATAAATATACCTAAGGAACTAAGGTAAAGGACGTGGGGAACCGCATCACGAAGCTAAAGTGGAGCTGGGCAGCGGACCTGATACGGTGACAAGATGACAGATGGAGTAAGACGATAACTAAGTGGCGTCTAAGGACTGGACACAGGAACGTCGGGCGACCAGCGGCGAGATGAGCGGATGACATCGCAGAAATTGGGGGGCGAAACTGGATGATATTAGCACGGGATCATGGGGAGTGGCAGAGAAACTTGGAGGCCTATACCCAGCAGTAGGTGAAGTTAGGCTGTATAAGACGATGATGAACTTATATGTATATTTAATTAATTAATCAATCAATAATTAAATGTATGTGTATGTGATTTGAGTCAATGAGTATTAATAGTAACGTATAATCCAGTTATTTGCTAGTAATGGTACTTCTTGTTTCAATGATCATCAAGGAATGCCAATTATGCGTAAACAAAGATATCGAGTTGGCGGCGCTCGCGCCGCGTTCGTCCTCCACATTTTTCTTTATTTTTGTATTTATAACGCAAAGTGCCAATATTTTTCTCACGACCATTAGCTGGAATTATTCCAATAAACTAAAAGTTCATGAGTTTTCCGAAACTTATTTTGGGGCGGTGAGTGAACGATAACATTTTTGCTGAAGATGTGCGGATGTATTAAACTAAAATATGACACAATTCAAGTCTTAAAAAATATATTAAAAACCTCGACTGCTAAATCTGTATTCAACGGCACACACTGGACTGTTTCGGTCCCATCCCTATGTTGTAGATATTCTTAGGATCCGCTTAAAGCGTTTTATTGTGCGGCCTGAGTGAAAAAGTGTTCGGCTGCGCGTCCAGGGAGGCGGCGAGTAACGCGAGTGGCTTTTCATCGAGTGGCCTTAGTGCACGCTCAGAATCTGTGTGAGCCGGTTACGTGTTTATCATGGCATCTGTGTCATAATATAAGGTGATAATGTATTTAGAAGAAAATATACCTATATGACTAAAACATTTAATACCTACTCTCAATCAAAACAAGGTACAAAATTTGAAGAGTTTTCTACGTTGTTTCAAACATTGAGATTACATGAAGATAAATTTCACGAGTATTCATAAGAACGTCGTAACATTCATAATTCCGTACTTTTTGGCAAAATTTTATCTTTAACAATCTATCGACAACAACTACATCAATTGTGAAAACTGGAAAAGAAGACAGACTATAGTTTGAACTCGCACGCAAGGCCCTCTCGACGCGACACTACGCGCAAACAAACCCGATGCTGCCGTCGCGCTGCTCGGCCGGCACTCAGGGCGCGTGTCCACGCTAAGAAAAGTCGCCGGGTCTATGCAAGAATACGTATCGTTTCTACACACGAACCGTGTACACTGCCTCGGCGCTAGACAAGAAAAAAAATCTTGTCTAACCCCGACACGACGCGCTCTACCGCAATTGTACGGTGCGGGGAGGTGCATTGTCAGTAAACGACGCGTATAAACATACGCGTGGACGGGTGTTGCTTAGTAGTCAATAAAGACAACAACATATTTCTTCCTACAGTCGCGTAGTAAAACGACAGCTACCTGGAACTGGACCAGTCCGAAAGTCCGAAAGCATTCATATCGTGTACATACTCATCATTTTCTCGTCTGTAACAGGGGGGCTACTCTCGATCTCCGTCCGAAACAATTACTGTTAAATAAGTAATATTTGACAAAATTAAAAGACAAGTCCAGTCCAGTATGAAGCTTCATTCGTATCACGCGTCTTTTCATTTGGTAAAGTATTGCTTATTTGGAACATGACGTGTCTGGGGATATATTATATCCCCAGACACGTCATGTTTTCGTGGCTAGATCCGACAAAATTTTTGCCGTGTGCAAGACCATTCTCATCTTGTCTGTAGCAGACACGTCGAATTTCTTAGCGTGTACACGCGCCCTCAAGACAGCACTACGCGTATGCACTTGTTTGACACGTTCGCCGCACGCCAGACGTCGACAGACGCTCGATTTGAACGGGCACTCTATCTGTACACTCTTAAATTGCCGCAGCCAAACGACAAATTCAAACGAGCAAGGTTACATTTCTTTAAACAAAAAATGATAAAGATGCAGCAAGTGGCGGCGGATGGCATCGAGCTGCGCCGAGTGCAGTTTATAAAATACCATATTATTATGATAGAGAAACATTATCTACTAAATAATCTCAGTACAGAGTACTAAAAAAACCGACCTCAAAAATACGTGGAATTGCGTCTATTTGCTAAGTTTTATTGAAATATCCCCTAGTTCGCCACTATACAGGACTTGACACTGGAGATAATAAAAATATGTTCTCACTACGATACTACTCAAAGTATATTGAGAGAAAAACGCCTTGAATTGGATAAATAGCAAAATCAACCATTAAAATAGTTGCTCCTAAATTAAAGTAAGGCGCTATTTGTAAAAATGAATCTTCATGCGTGAACAGCCACCCTTAAAGGTGGATGATTTTCTTCAAAATTAAATGGAACCACTATGGAAGTACCTCCTTTCCAACAAAAAAAGAATCATGAAAATCGGTTCACAAATACCGGAGTTATCGCGTAACATATGTACATACAAAAAAAAAGAACATACAGTCGAATTGAGAACCTACTCCTTCTTTTGAAGTCGGTTAATAAACTATACATTTCTTCTAATTGCCTCCGTGACTGAACTGTTATCATGCTGGACTGCCACGCAGAGGTTCCATTCTCAGGGCTAGTTGAAATTTGTACGGCCAACATTTATTTCTTTCGTGAGCGGTGTAATTTGTGGTTGTCTATGTGTGTCCATAGCATCCGCGATGTAGGGTTTTCTTTCCATCCTAGAGGGTTTCCTTAGTACGGGGCTACGGGTGTGTGCGTTATTATTGTTGCTAATTGAACTAAACACTCTAGCCGCACTGCGCAGGCGCAGCCTGTTGTCGGCTACTTATATGCGACTGAACGACGTCGGGCTGTATAGCGCGAACTTTGGAAATAGCAATGCAATAAGAACATTATGGTTACTAAAATAAAGTAAATATTTCTTCTCAGGGGAATCTGCTTTATGAATGTGTAAGCAATTTGTAGATTTCATACGCAAATAATAAAATAAATAAATAAAATAAAAAAATACTGGCACTGGATAAGAAATGAAAAGATATTGAGTTCTTAGGTTTTCGCGATTGTTACAGATAGGAAATGAAACTATTTTTCCTTATTAAATCGCGTATATTTGTTATAACGAACAAACCGACGTTGAGTCGGCCGACGTTGAGTTGACTCAACCGTGATCATGGGACCTGTAAAGGGCCCGAAACGTAGGTTTGTTTGAAAAAACAAATATACGCAATTTAAATCCGGAAATATAATTTTATTTTCTAAATAAAATAAACATTCCAGATTCAATTCCCAACAGGACCTATTTCGGAAAAAAACTTTTCTGGTGGTTTTGGCTTGGTTGTTCTGGGTAGTGCCACGGAGTGAATTCTTTTGCTCTTTGTTCCGGGTTCCATTCCTGGACACGGTCGAATTATATCTGCGAATTTAAAGTTTGATTAATTGAAATTACCTGGCTTAGTAGATGTCCTTGCTATAATTATAACCTATTGTCTTAATTTACATTGAAGTGAAGGAGCGTGTGAAAAATGTGATTTACGTATATATATCACTTCTGTCTATAGATATATTGAATTGATTGATTACATTTTAGTTTAAGATTGACGAATGTGACAAATCCTTATAATTTTAATACGCATTGTGTAATATATGGTATTGGCTAATTTTAAGGTTTAAAAGGAAATAAAATGTATGTACGTACTATCGTTTTCTTACTGATAATAATGAACGTTTAGCTTAAGTTTGCCCGAAGCTGTGTGCTCTTTATATGCAATAATAATGTATTAAATTAAAGTCGGCATTGGGAATGGGTAGCACTAAAATACATATACAACTTGTGTGTTAATGAAATAATGTAATTAATATCTTATTTTCGTAGCGCCTGTTCAAAATTGTTGCACTTTAATATATAACAACAATGTCAAGTTTTGTTGCTATTATATTAAGATCAGGCAAAAGTAACGCCATTGCAATGCAACTTAGGGTCGTATTCTAGAACTCTACTCAATGCTCAAGTGGATTTGAGTATGGTTTAAAGCACTCGAAATCATACTCAAGTCCCTGCCATTAGGGTCGTATTTCCAGTGCTTGAAATCATACTCAAGTCTGCCCTAGGGGTCGTATTCCAAAACTCTACTCAATGCTCAAGTCAGGATTTCAGCAGACTTGAGTATGATTTCAAGCACTGGAAATACGACCCTAATGGCAAGGACTTGAGTATGATTTTCAGTGCTCACTGCAATACTCAAGTCCTGACTTGTGTTCTGGAATACGACCCTTATTCGGCCACCAGGCTTGCAATATTGCAACATTGTGCATTAGTTGTCATGTCATAGTCAATGTCAATGTCAATGTCAATGTCAAATCGTCCACTCACATGACATCTATTCTATTGTGATAAAACCGTCGCTGGTTAACGCAGTGGAATAATCTCGATCTAATCGTAATTGCATCACTCTTACTATTCTCTTCAAGTGTATAATGTGAAGAATTTTTAGCATTATTAATTTAATGGGAGAGCGTACACGATTCCCCGAAGAGATGGCTACCACGAGCACGGCAGTCACTACGGTGCAACCACAATTGCAGGAGGTAAGTTGTGTTCAAATAGTCTTTACCGTTTGTTTATTGCCTCCTTATCATTTTATTTACACTGCGAACATATTATTGTTTCATATATGATAAGTAAAAAGTGTCACTTTATTCATTCCGTGCTCGCAATGGAGATCATAAAAACATTTACATTCGGTGCTATCAAATCTCATTATCATGGACTTAGGGAGTTTTCCACGCGTTTGCCGGGTTTATTGAGCGATATTACCGTGTTAGATATGACCAGGGTCATCGCAGGGCCGTATTGTACTATGCTTATTGGAGATTTAGGTGCTAATGTCATAAAATTGGAAAGCCACGAAGGAGATGAGTCGAGGAAATGGGGTCCCCCTTTTATGAAAGACAACACAGAGTCGTATTACTCTCTCTGCGTGAATAGGAGCAAGAGAAGTGTTTGTGTGGACTTTAAGAAGCCAGAAGGTGAGAACCCAATATAGTATGATTTGTATTAATTTGCACTTTTCAAGGCAATATCAGTTGACATTAATTAGAGTATCTTTAAATGTCGGCAGGTAAACAAATAATATACGACTTGGTTAAGAAGTGTGATGTATTAGTGGAGAACTATATACCGGGAAAACTGGATCAATGGGATGTTGGGTACGACAAACTGAGGCAATTGAATTCTCAATTGATATATTGTTCTATTACTGGCTTTGGACCTGTTGGACCCTATGCAAAAAAACCAGGGTGAGTGGAACACATTGTGTTTAAAGTAAGACGTTAGTAAGAATACATGTTAGGGTATAAAATTTAAAAATGCCATCAGATAATGAAAAACCCTTTGTAAAGTTTAGCTACATAATAACATATAACTGCTGGAAACTCTGTTTTAGATATGATGTAATAGCTGCAGCCATGGGAGGTCTCGTCCACGTCACAGGAGAGAGAAATGGAAGACCAGTTAAAGTAGGAATACCTGCCACTGACCTTGCCACAGGACTGCATGCATTTGGTGCAATCCTGACTGCTCTTTATTACCGTGAAAAAACTGGCAAAGGGCAAAAGATTGATTGCAATCTACTGTCCACACAGATATCAATCATGATCAATGTTGCTGGTAATTACTTGAACTGTGGTATAGAAGGTGAACGCTGGGGTACTGCTCACGCAAATGTCGTCCCGTACCAAGCTTTTCCAACTAAAGATGGTGATATTGTCATTGGTGCAACATCAAATGCTCAATTTGTTGACCTTTGTAGGAAAATTGGAAGGGAGGATATGGCAAATGATGCGAGATTCAAAAATAATTCAGATCGGGTCGTGAATAGAGATGTGCTTATCGAAAATATAAGCCGTATGACTATTAAGAAAACCAAGAAAGAGTGGTGGGAGTTGTTAAAAAATGCATCTTTTGCATCTGGTCCAGTGAACTCAATCAAAGAGGTATTTGAAGATGAGCATGTGAAAGCTGTAGGGATTGTACAGGAATTGCCCCATCCACTGATTGGAACAATGAAGACGACTGCTCCCCCTACTACATACAGTGAAGGAGGAAACTATGTCCGTTCAGCACCTCCACTTCTGGGCGAACATACGAAAGAAGTTTTGTCAGATTTTTTAGGTTATAGTAGTACTACAATTAAGGAATTGTTCAACACTAATGTAGTCCGTTAACTTTGTCTTTAAATTTTAATTAAAAAAAAAACATTTTATTTGTAATGTACATATTTTTTATAGAATGTTATGTAACATTTATTACTAAAATTTGCAACATGCTTTTTTCTTTATTTGAATGCTCATTAACATCATGGTCTTCCCATTATATGTCCCATTATGGAACCCTATAAGGAGAGGGTTTAGGCCATACTCCTCCACACTGGCTCAATGCAAGTTGGAAACTTCATATATTGTCCAAGAATGGAAAGTTTCACGTACTAATTTAAAATTATAAGTACAGGCACTCAAAATCATGTACTTTTTAGCTCAGAAGCAACCGTACTACAGACTGCCACTGTTTGCATTCTAATGTTATCTGTACAAAACTATTTACTCAAGGTCTTAACATATTATCTGATATTAAAATAAATGTATCATTATGATAATTAAAATTTGATAGAGTATTATTGTTTTTATTTCACTTCTACCTAAAGCGAAGTGGTATAGTCTCAAGTGTTGACTCAATCAGTGTCATCAGAATGCACCGGACATACTTGCTGCAGCCATACAAACTACCCGTACAGCTGCGCCGTCGGGACATGTGTCCTTACATTACTTTCTAATTTATCATTTGTTCTAACCACAAATATCAAATATGGCTAGAGATCAAGTACCTTCTTGCCAATTACTGAAAATATAGTTTTTTAATTAGTTTTTTTACATTGTAATGATTTCTTGGCCAATTTCATGATTAAAAAATTAATTAATAAATTTATATTGATGTTTTATTTAGTTTTAATAGGGTAATGAAATACTTATTTAAAAAAAATACCTGCATCCCTAGACACTAGTGATGTGTACATTAATGAAGATTTTGCTAGTTGGAGAGAGTTAACAAATCTTGTGAAGTGCCGTCTCCATCATCACGATTTATTATAAAGATATTTATCTTCTTTGATAATTATTATAATAATTATCTATTCTGATGTGTAGCCGATAATTATCCATGCTGAATCGTAGTGTTGTCTCTTTCATTTTTGACAAAAATTAACAAAGAGTGAGAAAACGGTTTGTGACTCTTTTTGATATTAACATTTGACGCCTTTGGTTACGTCTCTGATACTATAACACGCCGCGACATTGCTAGCGGTAACATATTATTGTTCCACTTAATTTAAGATCATCATAATTACCACTTCGAACCGTAATGGTCCATCACCATTCCATCAATGGAATGACATCTATTTGTCAAGTTTTATTCGCGCAAATCCGGATTCATCCCCTAGTTTCCCACCCTTAGAGGTGAATTTTAAATTTAAATATTTATTCATATTCATTTTATTTGCATTTCACATGGATGATAAACTTATACATGTGATACCCTATAAGGGTGTAGCAAAGTTACAATGGAATTTAAATACATTGCACGTATTACGTGCTTGAACGTAGTTAATTAGTTTAGATAATTAATTATATTATAGATTCTATAATTATTAATAAACATAATTATTACCATTGACTTACAATTATATGGACGTCGGGTTCGCGCTAAAAAGTGTCCGAACTTATAGGGCGTTAAAATCGTATACAGAGCGTCATTCACGCTTTAGTCTTCGTTTGTTCGACTGACAGCGAAGCAAGCAAAATTAGACAGTACTGCGATGACATTACAATTTAAATTCAACGTTTTAGCTTTTTCATATTCCTTTACATGTCACTACGTTTAAATAGGTTGACTTGGGACATTTTTTTCGTGGTTTTTGTATTAGACCCGTCGTCCATTTATTTGTAAGTCAATGATTATTACACAATATTTTATCTTAAAATTAATTAAATTATTATTTTTATAATTATTAAACATTTTTATTACTATTACATTTAATTTCATTTCATTTATTGCAAATTACATTTTTATAAACTTAGATACATATATGTGATAGGGTATTAAACTTAAACCTAATGATATAATTATTTTAACATATATTATAATATATATTATTCGTACATTTATTTTATTATTATAATATATATTATTACGTACACTTATTGCTAATAATAATTTTTACTGAATTGTATTTTCAATTATTACCTAAATTTCATATAGACATGAAATCAATTTCAAATACATTTATCGCCAAAAAATTCAGACATAATATAATAGGGTTTTTTTGTTTGTTTTTTTTTGTTCAAAGACCGTGTCTTTATCCAAATTTTTTATATAATTTGGGATGTGGTTATATACTTTTATTAATATAGGGTGTGGTGCACAAGAAAATAATTTTAGGCTAGCGGAGGAAGTTTAAGCTTGTTATGGTAACGATTATTACGTCTTATTAATTTTATCGAAGAGTATAAATCTGCGTGCTTTTTAACGAACTTTTAGGCTTCAAAAATGTATAGGCACGTTAGAGTCAGTATGTTAAGTTTTGTAAAATACGGTTTACAGGAGTCCGTTTGTTTTATGTTGGTTAATATTCTGATCATTTTTTTTTGTAGAACAAAAATTTCTTTACAATACGAGCTGTTTCCCCACAGTATAATCCCATAGGCTAGTCGCGAGTGGGCAAACGCATAATAAGCTGAAAGGGCCGTTTTTAGGTCAGTAACACGTTTCAGTTGTCTAAGAGCATAATAAGTGAAGATAAACGGCTAAATAAAATAAAATTAAATGAGAACAATACTGAGGTATCTTCTTTCCAACAGAAAAATAATCATCAAAATCGATTCACAAATTCCGTAGCAATCGCGTAACATGCACACAGACAAAAACACAGTCGAATTGAGAACCTCCTCCTTTTTATAAGTCGGTTAAAAAGTTATTTTGGCACATATGATGTTTTCAGGAGTCAGCCCAGCCGATCGCGGTGATAACGCTGCGGCAGAACCGCACGCGCGACCGCAAGAAGGTCGTCTGGACAGAGGACACCGTTGACAACGAGGACATGAACAAGAAAAAGTCTAAATGTAATGAACTAACTACCATTACAAACTTACAACTTTAGAGCGATGCCACACGGGAGCTGCCGGGGCGTTGCGTTATCGCAGTGCTTTGATTTGAACGCACTGAATGCCACACGTGCAGTGCGCTGTCGCACGTAACGCCCCGCTTAGAAAAGTACGCTCGTCTGGCCTCACACCCAGACGAGTGTAATTTGGTGAGTTGTGTGTCGCGTAGTTTGAGTTGCGTAGTTTGCGCTGCATACGGTTTCATATAAAAGTACGGTTTGTTTTACACGACGACGCAAAATTAGTTATCTGCCGACCCACGGGCGTAGTGACGACTGACTTTCGAGCGCGTCGTGTGACGGGCTGGCGTGGTTGGAGGTAGGGGGAGGGGTCACTTTGGTATAAACGCTTAAAAGCCACTGAATAAAATACGTTCGTCTAGCGGTCCAACCGAATTTCGGTCGAGTGCAAGCTGCGCAACTCAAAAAACGCAACTCACAACTCACAAAATTACGCTCGTCTGGCCTCCCCCTTACTTACGTACCGCAGCACCCCTCCCCACTTCGTCTCTTGGCCCCTTGTTCGACGCGCCCGCGTACTCGCGCCGTTTCAACGCAGCGTCACCTCTAAGGCGTCGCAACGCCGACGCAACTCCTCGTGTGTCATTACTGTAAATTTACGTAATTTATAATTTTGGCGAAAATCACTTCACGGCCTACACCAAGAAAACAATTTCTATTCAGACTGTGTATACATACTATGTAGAGAACTGTCTACCGTCAAATTATAAGGTATGTCAGCTGCCCGATCGAATACGACGCGTTACCAACTGGTGTAAGCTTTGAGTCACTTTTACAGGCTGCTGTATCTACGAGAAGCCTCATAAGTTTGACGAGGACTCGGGATCGGACAGTGACGACGAAGACTGCGAGCACTGCTTCGG